TGGTTGAGTTGTCACCCTCAAGCAGCAGGTCTAGAGTTCAAATCCCAGGGACGACAAAATTGAAAAATGGACCTGTGTTCGGTATGATTATCTGCCAAATCAGTTATTTGGTACACCATCTAGAATAGGAGCTTTGGCACATGAAATCCAGATAATCGGGATGATCAATACCCGTTTAGAAGCCTCAAGTAAGGAGGTAGCCGAAACTTTTGACGGTGCTACAGGAAAGACCGAATTTGGAATTTAGAACTGAGACCGATGAACCGAACAACAAAAGATTCTTAAGTAGGGGATCCACCAACCGAACTGCCAATTTGGAAAAACCAGAAATTGACAAACATACACAGTGCACACCAACCAGGTCGCTGGCTTGGGAAACTGGTAGCAGGGAGCCTACCTTAGCGAACCGAGGATTGGAAGACACAGGTCATAAGACACGGGTCGACAAAATAGGCTGGGTATGCTGGAGGACCGGGAACTCCTGAGTTGGAGAAAAAGGATATATGCTATGGAAATATGAACCAAGATGAGATAGGCCAAAGGCACTTAGAGCCGGGTCAAAGTCAAACCTTCCGAGTTGCCAGTTGAAAGTAAAGGATGAACCGGTTAGAGAATAATGGAAAAGAAAAGTCTGAATGTGGGTATCGGGGTAGATAGTGAACCCTATAAGGGCATAGCAGTCACTAAGCTATATTGCAAATGGAACCTTTAGGGACTGCGATGACTAGGCTGGCCAGAATGGAGTACAGAAAGCTCTAGTAGGTTTATCTTGAGGATAGCTGTGGTATCTACTTAATGGAGGAATGCAAGCTGGTAATTAGTCGGTACAAATCCAGAATAAATCCACAGAAGTCCTAAGGCAGGATGCAAAATCTACCGAGGATGAGCTGTAATTGTGGTAGTCCTGTGGTTAGAATGAAAAGTATAATATGGTGAAGATCAGAAGGTTTAAATGGGTAATCCCCTAGTTGGGTTATAGATATAGCAGCTAGTATAGAACCTTTGGCAGACTACTTAAATAGGCACTCAAAAGATGCATGTGTGGCTAGTTGTATCTTCGTTGTAATTAGTATCATTGATTTCTAATAAAAAGTCTCCCTTGGCCAAAAAGGTCACCTTAATACCAAAAAAAAATAAAATAAAATTTATAGTTATCAGATAACTAGTAGAAATCACGATAATTTTAAACCATTCTTAACTATTATAGTAGAGAATAAACATAATCTTAATTACATAGAAATCATAACAATTCAAATGCAAACTAATTCAATTTAAGCCATGTATTATAATTATCAAGATATCAAGTAAGTTCTGCATAATTTTTTCAATAATATGAATATAATAATTTCAATACAAGCTAACTCAACCTTAAACACTGTATAGACTAAATTCTGTGACAGAATTTTTTATTATAATTCACAGCTTTAAGCACTTGATGCGATCACTGGAATACAAGTAAGTTTATAATTAGATATTTACCACAACTAATGATAAAAGCAAGAAAATTTGAATGCAACTAACTCAATCGCATACATCACCAGATGGTGATTAAATTTTGTAGATCTAAACATATCCTATTGGTATTTTTAATCTTGATTTGTGACACTTATTCCTCTTTTAACAAACAAAGAATTATGATCATTTCTTTTTTCTCGATTCAACCCTCCACCACACATTGTAGTTTCCTGATTCTGCCATTTTTCTATTTAATAGCCAACCTGCTTCGAGCAAGTGGGAAACCACTAGCTGATGCTACTTTCTACCCATTCTACTGTTACAATGATAACTAATGCAATCTTCTAATTTTCACAGAAGCATATCATCATTTCAGTTCAAATTACTCAGCTCAAATTATGCAGCTCAACTTGAAGAACAAGGAACTAGGTGACATATTCGTAATCATCACATTACGTGAATTATGAAATGATGTAATTTGTTTACTCGCATTAACAAATTGGCCTAAACTAATTATATCTAACTCTAATACTAATGTCTTAGGCTGAATAATTATCAAGTGATGTGATGATCACAAATATATGGGCTGTCAAAAGTAGAAACCAAGAAATTTTACATTTTTTTGTAAATTAACCTGCTTGATTGATTAGGTGTAAAATTTAAAGCCCAATCTTTTTTACATAATAATGAAAGTCTGATTACTTAATAAATTTTTGCGATACAATGGTCAAAAGCTTTTGACACTATAATCTAAAAATAGATTTACCGATGCAGATATTATTACGATAGTGATCTACAGATCTGATAATCCTGTTTAAACAGGTTTTTTAATATTGAATAAACTATTTTAGATTGTTTTGACTTTGTGTAACAAAATAGTTTTTGCCAATTTTCTCAAAACCCATGATCAGCCAAATTCCCTAGTTTCTACTTTTGAGGGCCTATATCAGCTAGTTTCTTGATCTTTAAACTTTCCCAAATTTATTCTATAGACTTAAAAGTCCTTTAATTGAATTTATTTCTGGCACCTTTGGCTTGCTGACATTATTCCAATTACATGACTATTCATATCTATACTTTTCGTATATATTTGAATTTTACTTGCACATGTGATCATACAGATTCTTTGCAGCATAACATGTTACGCAGCTATCTTATACATGACAAATGACATGACTATTACATTTTTTTACAATAGTAAGTATTGTGCATACCTTATAATTATCAATCAATGCACTAAACAATTGAAAATCATAACTTTCTAAAAACAAATTAATAAAAAATCATTACTCCAACCAATATAGAATTTCATGTGATCGTACTCATATTTATAGTGACCTCAAGTTAGCATCAGCTGTGATAATTAAAATAAAAATATAAAAAAACAGTATGCAATCTGTAGTATCATACTTGGTGCTAATATTTTAATTATATCACATTCCTAGTTTTAGCATGACTGTGTCACACAACTAGCCTAATGCGTACATAATTTCAAATAAAGTTTACATAGCATACATTTTATTATAGAATCAAAAGTTGTCAACTTAAATTTTGAGGCATTCTCAGAGCTATCAAGATAATTGACATGGTGCTGCACAAAAAATGTGCAGTAGATCCTCGATTTTGATTGGCTAAAATAAATTAAGCTGGAATTACTTATAATTTTACTAATGAAATCACAGCCGTCTAGTAAGTGAAAATTGTTTCTGGGTCAATTTTATCATAATATGTGCTTATTTTTTAAAAATTTCTATTTTTGTAATGAAAAAATTAAAAAGTTAATTCTAGCCGGAATTTAGTAAACAATTTTGTAATGCAGACCAAAATTTTAAAGATCTTTGGCTATTAGCCAATCAAAATCGAGGATCTGCCACACATTTTTTGTGCGGCACCTAGGTTCAATTTGTCCTTCATCAAGGGGTGTCATATATGGAAAACAATTGACAAACAAAACCAGATCTGAAAAACAATTTGGAAAACAATTGAGAAACAAATAGAAAACAAGCATGAGTTATCTGTCCCTTCCACTTTGTGCTATGAATATATATATGTGTCTAACAATACAGACTTCAAAAGTATCATAAGAAAAGAGTCTAAGCTACTACCTGCTATATGTGTTACTATAGCAGTGAAATATTGGCGGGCCGGGTAAAAAAAACTAGTTATACTAGAAAAACCCTTACCACAACCAAAACTACTGTGACTGTTATCTCAACAAACCACCTTAACAAAAATACAAACAAAATAACTGTAACTGTCGTTCCAACAGGCTACTTATAATAAAAATGAAACAACTACCACCTTGGCAGACTATAAACTAACAGCTTGAAATGACTGCCATCTCAACTAGCCATAAATTCCCTAAGCAACAACTACTGATTCACTAGGAAAAACCTAATATAGTCACTAGGGGTGGGCAGGAAGGGAACAAAAAAACCAGACAAAGTCAGGTTAGCAGAAAAAACAAAACTTACACTTCCTGGGAAAACCCTGTTTTGCTTTAAATACTAACTTACGATTACTAATCGTAAAAATTATATTATTACAACACAGATCAAACAATGGATTAAACAGATCATTCAATAAATCATAACAATGCAGTAAACTACAAAATCATATGATATGACATTTGCATAAATCAATCAATAAATCACGCCCCTTACCCAATCCTTAATATACTCCAGTGACTGATTCGGGACAAAATGCTGCTCCGATACTTTTGTATTGGGCAGCTAAATTTGTCCCTCATCAAGGGTGTCATATATAGAAAACAATTGCTAGAAAAACTGAATGCAGAAAAACAATTTGGAAAACAATTGAGAAACAAATGGAAAACAATCATGGGTCTTGCAGAGTATTACTATGAAAAGGAGTTTGCTCATTCTATAAAAAGATCTAAAAACCTAATCGAAACCTATTAACTTTGAGACTCCCAACTCAGCAGTCCCAACTGCCCTCATATACAGTTGCACTGCACCTGACATCCAACCACCAATTGACTGGATCTGCTCCAGAGTCATCCCTTCTTTCATGGCCACAGTAGCACCCCCAATCCTCAAACAATGTGCTGTATACCTTCCTTGTAACTCTGCATTTTTAGCAAACCTCCTAACTATTGTGGAAACAGCTGCTACAGACAACTTACTCCATCTTTGAACAAAAACAAAGGCTACTCTGGCAACATAACTGGTCTTAGCCTTAGGTAATGCTCCAACAACTTAACCAGGTATACCTTACTAGATAATCTTTCAATTGGGATAAACTTCTCTTTCGCTAACTGGTCCATTTTGGACTTAGCAACCCTTATCCACAACCTCTCGTCTCTTTCCACAACTCTGCCCTTTTCAGGTTGTATAGCTCACTCGGCCTTCATATAACTCTCAATCCCAAAGCCACCAAGGCCAGGTCCCAAGACCATAACACCACACTAGCTCTGAGAGGAGGACACTCCACATATTTCTGAACCACTTAAACTAGTAACGGATGCTGAGGCCACCTGGCTACTGCCTTTTCTGGCAAGGCTGTCCTTTTAACGCCTTCCACAATTATCCGAATCTGACTTCCTTTTGTAGGGTCTGCCAGGCCTCTTGCTTTATCAAACAAATTGGTATTTCCGACAACTTTCCAAAAAGTTCTAACCATGCAAGAAAAGCTGCAACTAGCTCATCTGAAGCCAGGTATGAGGACAAACCCACCCAACATGCAAATTCCACAAACATAGCTTGCGCCTTCTCTAGACGTTTTCTGTATGCTTCACTGATAGAACTATCCATCAAATCTGCTGCTCTAATTAACAATTTTTCGACCAATCCAAAAGCACTGCTTTCAATGTCTACTGATCATTTTTGCAAGGCTCCAAATTTTTTGAAGAACCCAGGTAAATAATCTGGCTTGCAGATGGTAGATCGATTTTCTTTCTTTGCGAATTTACTATCATTGGCCACCACAGAGCTGAGACCTAAACCGGAACTATAACTACAATCCAGGCTCTACACTCCTTGGCATGATACAATGCTCTGTAAATTAAGCTAAAGGTGGGCACACATAATTTCTCACCCAGCCCAATTCTGGGTAAAACAATTCACCACCTCCGTTCCTGGATAGAAATAGAGGCTGTTGAACTTTTGAGCCTTTGCATTCAAGTGACTTGCAAACCTGTCCACCTTGAATTTTTTTCAAACTCGTTCTAAATGGGCCGTTACCTCCGAACTTACTACCCAATTTCTCTAATCCTGGTCAAAGTATCCACTGGATTCAGCTTGCTCAGAACCCACCTTGTACTGAATATCCCGATATCAGCCTCTATACATACCTTCCAAATCTCTCTTGTGATATCTTTCTGCCAGTCCATAGGACCCCATTTGACACAGTCTTTAAAGCCACTCTGTTGTCGATGAATAAAGTGATCCAGGTTCTTTTCAACAAGTTTCTGAATACTAAATTGCCTGTAATACCGCTAATGCATCTAACTAGGCTATAACACTCAGGCATGAGGCTGCGATCAACTTCCCGATGCCTTGTGCTCCTGAAAAATACCACACCAACCCTTGGTCGATGCATTGACATATACCAACCTTACTCATGAGGGTTTCCAGGCCGGCCGGTCATTCCACTTTCTCAGATTCTTTATCAGCCAACAGACATTCTTGATTGCTTGCATTGAAAGCGAAACTTTTTTGTCCCATTGCCACACATCCCAATTTCTGAAGTCTATCAGTTTGTAAAACTCCATGCACTTTATCTGGCTTGGTAGGAAAGCGCTTACTACTTTTCCCGCTATCAAAGCCAAGTCTCTCACAGAAACTGTCAGAGCCTCCAATACCTTTTCCAACCTCGAGATAGTCGAAACTATCTTTTCTTCTAGAGCAACTACTACTCCATTTTGAATATCCACTAACATTCCACAAAACTTTAGTACTTGTATTGGGTCCCAATATCCTTTCTCTTAGGCCCGTACCCAACCACACCTTGCCAAGTCCACACTTATAATCTCATTCTTTAATTTTACCAAACCCTCCCATACATCGTCTAAATAGTTGTCGCAATATATACTCTGGGCCCGCTATTTGCCAATTAAAGCTCTCATTATCTTTGAAAATACCCAGAGGCTTGGCTGAGGCCAAAGGGTAACACCCTGTACCAGTACCATATTCCTTTACGCACGTAGCCCAACAACTTTTGTGCTTTGATGCTCATTAACACATGGTGGTAGCTATTCTTCAAGTCGAAAGAAATCACCTACCAGCCTCTTCCTATTGTCCTTAACAGGCCACCTAGCCCCTCAAAACGAAAAAACTTCTGGGGCAAAGTCCGGTTCAACCTTCGCAAATCAATAACTAACCAGAACTTCTGGGGACTCTGTTTTGGAACCAGAAACACAGGGCTTACTTCTAGAAGCTCTGCTGGACAAACAATACTCATGCCTAGCTTTACTATTGCCCTGTACTCTCCAATCTTTTCAATTCCTTTTCCAACTAACGCATCTCCTCATTTGAGAAACAATAGGGCCTTGAATTTGAACTGGTTGACAAACGCACTAGGTTTTTTTGAAACAATAGAATTCCCTCCTTTAACCATTTTAACACCAACTGGGACAGCCTTATTACTTCCTCCCAATAGCATATTGCCTCTTGATCATGAATCCTCCATGTTATACACTCCAAAACTTTCTCTCCCAATGCCAACGTTCCCCGAGCGTAGTAAACCACTTCCGGACTGTGCATCATCCCCACAAAAGGGCAAGCCAAGGTGCTTTCTAGAACAACACACATTCACAAAATGTCCCTTTTCTTCACACAGATAACACACCACCTCCTTTCCCTTGGATCATTTAGTTTTATCACCCCTTTTTGGCCAGTATTGCAATAGGGAGAATGAATGCTGTTGCCCTGGAGATGCTAGGGCCGCATTTTGGTTGAAGAACTGCTGCTGTTGTTCTCCTTGTAGGAATTGGGGGCTGTCTGCACAGCTTGAAATGGAAAAACACCTCCAAACGGAACCTGCAGACTCGTTGGCTAGTTTGGGAACTGCTGGTGAAACCCTGATTGCTGCACATATAGTTGCAATTGTGCAAACTATGCTGTGGGAATACCACCCATATGAAATAGGAGCCTAAACCGGATGTTGCCCAACACGAGGATAATACGGTGCTTTTGGCTTCTTAGCCTTAGAAAACGTTGTACTGCCAACCTAGCTCGCTCACGTTTGCTCCTAAAATTTTAGACATTGGGTCTGACATATCTGCAGTTGCCATCTTAAAAGCAACCTCCCAACCATCCTCATCTGCCACTCTTACTATATATGCCCTTTCCATAGCAACTTGCCTTGCTAAACGAACATAGGCTATGTCCCCAACACTAAAGCCTTATCCAAAAATGCACCAGCTTTACACCACTCATTGTACTCCCATTGATTTCGTTGTTTAGTCAACTCACACTTCTCCCACATCTCTCTACACTCCACATCGCACACAGGTAATGCATCAAAATCTTCCCCCCAAATTCCAATTCCTTTATCCCAAGACCCATTATGAGCTATGTTTGAACCCAGCATAGACTGACTACCAAAAGGGTCTAAAGGTCTTTGTACGCCTGTTCTCGGCTGCTGGGACCTCTAACTATTCTACTGAAACATGTCGGGCTCTTCCAAAGAACCTTCACCTCGATTTTCAAACAGCTGTGGCTGCACATCTCTACCTTTTCCAGTGACCTCAGTGGCACCAATGGATGCATCCGGACGCATCCGGGCCTTTCTTTCCTTAATCAGTCTCGCCACAACCTCCTTCTTGGAACCTGAATTAAATACCCCCGAAACCTTACAGACAAACCTCAATGCTTCTAATGACAAACGCTCTAGGCTCGAATCTAAAGCCACTACCGCTGTGTCAATCTGAGCCGGCATATCACTTGATACAACTGGATCCGATTCTTTATCAAATAACATTATAACAACAGAAAAACAAAGCCATATAAAGAAAAAATTTTTTTCCTTTATCAAAGAAATTGTATGAACGAAACACTAAGTTTATTTCTTAGAAGTAAAACAGGTACAATTGATATGATCATCAATGAAAGAAATAAGTATACAAAGTATGAAGTATAGCGTATAATGTGTAGCATGAAAAAACCAGACAAAGTCGGGTTAGCAGAAAAAACAGAACTTACCCTTCCTGAGAAAACCCCGTTTTGCTTTAAATACTAACCCACAATTACTAATTGTAAAAATTATGTCATTACGACACAGATCAAACAATGGATCAAATGGAACATTCAATAAATCATAACAATGCAGTAAACTACAAAATCATACGATATGACATTTGCATAAATCAATCGATAAATCACGCCCCTTTCCCGATCCTTAATATACCCCGTGACTGATTCAGGACAAAACGCTGCTCTGATACTTTTGTAGCGGGCAGCTAAATATCAAGATTATCAGCGTGCGCAGCTCATATTGTGCTGATAAAATTTTTTTACGAAAATCCTTTCCGCTTTAGTCTAAAAGGAAATGTGGCTGATCACGAGAAAGATCACAACCAATAATTAAGATGCCTGGCCCAATCATAAACTTCATTGGAAGTGATCTGTTGCATGCTGACAAAGAAAGATGAAAGGGTGTTATGAAAGCGCCTTATTAAACGACAAAGTGTGTTAAATTATGGATATCCCTATGGACAATCGGCCATTTTTCTAAAAATCACACGTGGGATAGGTATTATCATATTTGGAATCTTGTCAAACTGCTATCTCGATTTCGAATATTTTGGAACTTGGCCAGATTTATGTCATTGCCCGAATTATACTATACAATATATTTTGTGCATCACGCGCAGGATCACCCGCGGGGGTTCTCCTTATGTCAAGAAAATCCCGAGCTGAAGATCACTGTAGATCCTTTCCAATCTGATTCCGGAGCCCATCACCAATTAAATTGAAATTCGTTTCGAAATTTTGAATCTCTTTAAACTTCTAGCGAAGATTTCTCAGTAACCATTTGATCAAATTTAGTAAACCATTTTATATATTTATAAAATTAAAATAAAAAAAATTCATTGAATTTGGTTTAGTGGTTATCAAGAAGCTTTGCTAGAAGTTTTGAAAAAGCTTGAAATATCTTGGAAAGAATCTAAAATCAGCAAATTTTTTCTTTTTGAAAATTTAAACGATGATTTCTCAACACTATATCCAATTTCAATGAAATTTTTTTTTTGATTTGATTCTGCAAGTTTGCAGGATTAAAATAAAAAAAATCAACTGAAATTGAATAGGCAAGTGTTGAGAAAAATCGATTAAAAACTGGAAAAAAATTTGGCCGCAGCTTTTTTTCTACGGACATCTAAAATTTAAACGAAGATAACTCGGCAGTTGCCTAATTAAATTCGATCAAACCTTTTTTTATTTTTAATTCTATGAGATTATAGAATTAAAATAAAAAAAAATTTAATCAAATATGATCAGGTAATTTTCGAGTAATCCTTGTTCAAATTTTAGATATCCGTAAAAAAAAAAGCTGCGGCCAAATTATTTTCCTGCATACTCGCAGAATCAAAATAAAAAAAATCATTGAATTTGAATATATGGGTGTTTATAAAACATCGGTTAAAGTTTTGTAAAAAAATTTAAGAAAAAGAATGTTGCAATAAATTATTTATTTAAACTTTAATTGATAACTGCTCAACGGCCATTATCCAATTTAATGAAATTTTTTTTTGTTTTGATTCTGCAAGTTTGCAAGATTAAAATAAAAAAAATTAACTGAAATTTAATAGACAGATGTTGAGAAATATCGATTAAAATATTTAGCCGTAGCTTTTTTTTTACGGATACCTGATCATATTCGATCAAATTTTTTTATTTTATTTCTATAATATCATAGAATTAAAATAAAAAAGCTGATCGAATTTGATTAAATAAGTACCGAGTTATCTTCGTTCAAAGTTTAGTTATCCGTAATAAAAAAGCTGCGGCCAAACTTTTATTGGCCTTTAATCGATATTTCTCAACATCCGTCTATTAAAATTCGGTAAATTTTTTTATTTTAATCCTTCATACTTGCAGAATCAAAATAAAAAAAATCTCATTGAATTTAGATAGATGGGTGTAGAGAAATAATCGTTTAAATTTTCAAAAAGAAAAATTTGCCGATTTTTTTTTCCGATATTTCAAGCTTTTTCAAAACTTCTAGTGAAGGTTTCTCGACAACCAATAAACCAAATTCAATGAACTTTTTTTTTTTTAATTTTACAAATATATAAAATGTTTTACTAAATTTGATCGAATGGTTACTGAGAAATTTTCGCTAGAAGTATAAAGAAATTTAATGTTTTGGCTCCGGAATTAGATCGGAAAGGAACTACAGTGATCTTCAGCCGGAATTTTCATGACAAGGAAACCCACATGGGGTGACTATCTAGTTGATCCGATAATAAAGACGCAAAGCAAGCTTTGTTACATATCAGTAAACGATTTACATAAGAAAGTATTATATAATTTCGCGAAATTCGTTAAATTTTGTAAATAAAAACATTCAATTTTGTAAATAAAAACATTCTTTACTACTATGAAAATATTTATACAATTTACTTTATTGTACATGCTTTTGAAGCTCGCTTCATTAGTAAACTGTACTCAACAACCGTTAACATATTCTCTTAAATATAAATTACTCAATAATACTCAGAAAGCATTTCTGTCAAAACGTGCTGGATCTATAAAACTAGACACTTATTTAGATCTCTTCCCTAACATTCCAGTAGTATGTTATTTTTTATAATTTTCTGATATTGATATTAAAATTCATGCCATTAATTCGTGCTTTGTCAGTGGGCTGTGGTAGTTGGCATAGGAAGAGATTCTAAACAAGGCGTCTCCCTAATATATGATACTGAGAGTAAGGATTCTTTTGTCAAGTCTTCCAAATGTGTATCATGCCCCAGCTTTACCTATGATCCAACAAGAAGTTTGACATACAACAAAACTAGATCAACTTCTAATAACTTGGGACGATACCACATTTACGAATATGGGACAGATTTCATTGAAAATCTGACTATGCCATATGAATTTGGATTGGTGGATTCTATTAATAATACAATGGCAATAGATCAACATGTTGCGGGAGTATTCGGGCTTGGTAAGTGTAAATTTTTTGTTTAAAAAATAATTTTCTTGAAACTAACATAATTGTACAACCAGGTTATGAAAAAGATGATTGCAATTCTGCAAACTGTAACTTTTATTCATACCTAAAGTCAAAGGGTAAGTTTTTCATGCTGTTAACTTAACTATTTAGAGTTTAGAATTGGCTTTATTTCATATATTAAATATCCCAAAATAAAACTGGTTCCAAATTCTAAAGACCTATCATTAAATGACAAAAATTTTAAGTTGAACAACCGTAATGATATTGCATCATGGATTATGCAATCTCACACTTTTCTGACATAACATTTTTTTATGTGAAAACAATGCTAGAAGTTACATAATATTCTTTGTGTAAAAATTTGTTATTTATTCTGACTCAAAAATTTATAATAGGTCTAATATCCAAAAGATTGTTTAGTTACTTTATTGTTCCGCGGATTGAAAGAGAAGTAAGTATTAAAAATATATATTTAGTAAACTTAAAAATTAGAAACTAAACTTTATCATTCACAGCAATGTGCTAAAAATGTATCTTCTTGTCATGAATGGCAATTGAATGGTGGCGTAATTCCATTTGGAGACATCCAGCCTACAGTGAAAGACATCATGTGGTTACCATTAATAGATCAAGGTTAATGGGTTTCTTTCTTCACAACTGCTTTCTTTTTTTTAAATTACTGTCTATAAATATCTCCAAATAGGGGGTCTCTGGAAAATAAATATTAATGGTAAATATTCTTTTTTTTATTCATATCATTTTACAATGATCACTGACAGCTTAGTTCATTAATTTACTGACAAGATTATCTTACTAACAATTAATTAACTGGAAAGTTCATTTCACCAACAGTTATTTCAATGACAGCATATTTCACTGACAAGTTTGTTTTTATAAATTACACTAATCTTAACTCTAATACTAGCCAAACTCTAATAACAATAACCAAAATTGCTTTGTCAATAACTGAACTATTAGTGAATAAACTTGTCAGTAAATTAGTTGTCAGTGAAGTGAACTATAAATGAATTAATTGCTAGTAATTGTCAGCAAAATACGCATTACTGCTGTTTCTACATTATTTGATTTAAAATTTATATATATTTATAAATGCAGGTATAACATTGCTTAACACTGCAACTCAGAAATCTATTGAAATGATGAATTTGTCTCAGCCTGCTGTTATTAGTGTTACCAATCCTCAAATGGTTTTTAGTGTAGAATTTGCAAATGCTATTACAAATTCCGTAGGTGGTAAATATGATCCAACATATGGGTATATTGGACCATGTGGATCTTTGGCTATTATACAGACCTACACAGGCGAATTACCTCGTTTTCGAACAGCTCCTGCACTAGATTGTGTGTATCTTTTTTTTTTTTCTTTTACAACATTTTTCTTACTAATATTTTTTGGTTTATTATATCTGTTTATTGCAATAGCTGGTTATTTGTATACAATACCTATTCAAGATGGCAGTTCAAATTGTTATGCAGGTTTTACTGACACAAATGTAAGTTAACAAGAACCATATGAGTGCCGTCAAGGTAAAATATTATCAGACTTTTAATTATATTTTGTATACAATTAGTCGTCTATAGAAAATCTATCATTATAGTAGATTTCCATAGCAGCTAACTATACACAAAATATAATTGAAAGTCTAATAACAGGTTTCTCTTGGCAGACTTATATATTAAATTTCTAAATTAACTTCTTCTATTTTCTAAAGATTACACAACTCCCATATTGGGTTCTTGGAATCCTATTTATAACTAATCATATTGTAAGTTGTTAATTAAATATTATTTTTAAAATACTTTATTTATGAATAATGATGGTGTATTATGAAATTTTGTCTATTTAAATGAACTTTCTATTATACAAAACTAAGTGATTCTTACAATTAATTATATATTATATATTTCTATTTTTTATAGATTATTTTTGATGCTGATAATGCTCAAGTTGGTGTTGGATGTAATTAAAAATTTTTATTAAAATATTATAATTCTCATAATAGTAATACTAAATTATAACAATTAAATATTTTTATTCTTTTTCTCTTATAGTCGGACCTATCTAAATGCTTAACCTATTTAAATGAACAGGAGAAACCGTCCAAATATAGATACGATTCTCCGTTACACAGATCACTCATTGTATCGACCAGTCAAAATATCACTACAAGATTAGTTAACCAATCAAATTGCGAAATTTACAAAAAGACGAAACCATGGGATTCAAGGGGATTCAAAAAATATGTT